ACCGTACTGAGCTAACGTCGAAACTCCGGTACAATACAAAATTATGAACCTTTAATAGTATACTGCTAACTGTATACTAATAATAGTATTTTTATTTATTAGATTAATAATATATTATTTTGATTTTAATGCTATTAATTTTTATTTATTTAATAGTATATATTTTTTATTTAAATAAGTATATTTATTAATTATATTATATATTTTTATATTTTAGTTCCTTGCTTCATTCGGGCGAGCGCCTAGCGCCTCGGGCGTTTTTGGACCTTGGCGCCTCGTGCTTTTTAAATCACTGAATTGAACATCAAACAAAGGGTTCCTACACCTTTATACAACTTTTCTTTGAGCTTCATATGCTTTATACTGTAGCTTAAAAGTTAGGCTTCCTGCTCGCTAGCTGAAATTCCAGTAGTCAGCAGCTTCTGCATCAGTCCAAAATTTAATGTTAGCTCTAGGAATTATTAGTTTGATACTTGGTACAGATCCTGATGTAGTTATAGCTTTACTGATCATGTTATGCTGTTAAGGTAAAGGTATTCAGAAGGAAGTTGTGTGGGTTAACATTTGAAGATACATTGTGAAGTCATTTTCTGTTGTTTGCATTACCAAGATCCTCAACCCCATAAAGTTATTCATAATTTCTCTACTCACTCTATGATTCTGTCAAAGGTTACTTAAATGCTTTCAAAGATTCCAACTCAATAAAACATAATAATCTTGTGTGATTTTTTTTATATTTGTACTTATCTCTCCAATGCAGGAAAAAGGCATGACATTACTAATGCAATGCTAAAAGTTCCATCAACTTCGAACTGTTTTTTTTACAGAATGCTCGATGCTCGTGGACTCCTCATATTTCAAGATTTAACTGTTGTCATGTCAGTGTCAACTTTAGAGATTATAGTATCTTGATTGTTGATGCAGAACATGCTGAGACAGGGCAATCATAGTACATTGTTCCACAATAGGCAAAAGAATTTTGTATGTTCCAATAGCTTGTTCTTGCTCTCTGATTAAGAGGAATTAATGGAACACTTGCATGGAGTTAAGTCGAATATTCCGTAATTTTCTTGATAGCTGAAAATTGGGTTCAGGTGGAAAAGTTGGAATAGTTGTTTGTCTTTCAGATGTTTCAGTTCTTCTTAATGCAATTAAGGCACATGCATCATTAACATATTTTTGTAGCTGACCTTAACTGGAACATCTCAGAGTATATTCTTTGTAGCTGATCAATTGAGGCATCTTATGGTATTTGCAAAATCATGCTTAGTGAGATCATATTTGGCTGTGAACTGTAAATTGTTGGTACTGTTTCCTCAGAGAATAACTTTTTTCTTGATGTAATCTGTGGTTTATAACTTCTGGTATGACATTTTATGTTTATATTTTTTAAAAATTGTCTGAAGCTTTTTGTTTGTGAATTATTGCAGGAGTTGATGTTTCTATTGAAGAAATTCAATCAACAGTTACTGCTGTTCTGGAAGAAAATATGGTTGCCATATTGGAACAACGTTATCATATCAATGGTTTGCCCTTTTCTCTCTAAGCTATTGCATCTTGATGATTGCTATTTTATGATTCTTGTTCTCTTTGTGATCCTATCCTAATATAATCATGTTTGTTCATGCTAATGTATGCCAGCCATTGTTTTCAAAATTGACCAACCTGATCTGGATCAGTTGATCTATACTGGGATCCTTCTGATTTGAGAAATCTCAATTTCATGAAATAATGATTAAATTGACTAGAAATAAGTTGAAATCAACTGGGTGCCATTGTAAAATTAAAATCAGGATTGCAATCGACTAGTGGCAATATGATCAGTATTGGCAGGACTGGCTTTTCCAAATCAATGATAATTTATTATAAATGTTAAAAATTAAAAATAAAATGGCAAATTGCCAGGATTTAGGAGTATTGTGATTTTTGAATGGTCATCCCTTGGTGGTGATGTAAGATTATTCAATTCCTGTGTTTTCTTAGTTCTGCGTTGCTAATTTATCCCTGTAAGATGTCGATAGACCCACATTTGGTACATCTACAAGGAACCTAAAGTGTTATGTCATTATGTCTCTTTGGTGTGACAATTTGATGAATGTTTGTTCAACTCATGTTAGTTTTCCCCTTAATTAGTCACTACATATTCTTTCCATTTTCATTCCCAGTATTTAATGATTGTTTGTTTGATCCAGTTGGTAATCTGTGTGGGCAAGTCAGGAAACATCACCCATGGGCTGATGCAAAAATTGTTAAGGTATTTTAATCAATGCAATGCTCTAATAATTATCAAACTTTCTGTTGATAATAGTAACCTTCTGGTTTTTTTCTTAATTTTTTTTGGTCCTTTGATAGGAAGTGATTGATGAGAAGCTTCATGGGATTCTTGGAGAGAGGACAGCAGATGATGATAAAAAGCCTTTGAAAAAGAAGAAGGAAAAACCTGCTAAAGTTGAGGTAAGGATGTATGTAAAAGCCATTTAACAAGATGCAGTTTTTGTCTCTGATTTGTGGTCATTGTTGTGTGCTCATTTTTAAGAAACAAAAGAGTGATGCAATTGCATCCACCCCAACTCTGGAGGAGGAAGTGAATCCTTACTTGATATTCCCAGAACCAGCAGAAAACTACAAGGTATCTTCGTTAGTTACATGGCTTACTTGTGAGCCTAGGTTTCTTGTTTATTTTGAATATTTTGGATTGGTCTCTAATTCTATTTCACTAGCTTGGCTCTCAACTTTGTTTAGCAAACATGATCGTGAGGATTGAGTTTCAAGTATTGTGACTTTCGCAATGTTACATCTTCCATCTTCTTTTATTATTTCTTTCCATATATGATAAGAGAGTCATGAACAGGCTTGTTTATATGCGGCCTATTTCTTTTTAAGTGTGTTAATTAGAATTGTGAGCTTGGTTGGATTATCATTATGGGGTAATATGTTGGTGCATATTTTCTCGATAGATATCCTATTCAGGTGTATATCATTTGTAATGGTTTGAACTTTGAAGTGCAGTACTTAGGAAAGAAATTGACTATTCCATGCTTTGTGATTGCTGTTAGTTATTTTCACATCTTGGTAGTCAACCTTAATTGCATCATCTCATTCCTTGACTATTCTATGCTTTGTGGTTTCTATGACTAATGGTTCCTTTGATATCTCAGGTTCATACAGAGATATTTTTTAGTAATGGAGACATCTGGAGAGCTCACAATACAAAGGAGATCCTGGAGAGACATCTTAAAGTTACCGGAGGGAAGGTTTTCACTCGCTTCCCTCCTGAACCTAATGGATATCTACACATTGGCCATGCTAAGGTAGATTATTATGTTTGCATGGGCATTTTATAGTTTTTTTGAAAATAAGTTTACATGTTTTTTAACATCTTCAGGCAATGTTTATTGATTTTGGTTTAGCAAAAGAGAGGGGTGGATCATGTTACTTAAGGTGAGAATTTTTTTCCATTTTTTAGATAGTGTTCAATATGAGGTTTCTTTCCACTACTAAATTTTATCACTATATTCGGCTCCATTATTGTGCTCTTAATTTCCATGCTGTCTTACTTAAAGTAGTTCTTAGTATTCAATTACTAGACAAATTTTTGCTTGCTTATGGCAATTTAACTGCATTATGGAAGTTTGTTGTGTTGCTAACTTTTTGTTGCTATCTTGTACACCATGTGCAACTACTTGAGAATCATTTTCATGGCCATTTTTATTTATAGGTTGATTTATTCTGTCATTGTATTTACATCCATGCCATCAGACACTTATCATCCTTGACATACTAGATGTCATTGATTGAAGAAAAATGACTTGGAATCTTAGCTAGTCTGCTAAGTCTGTGGCAAGTCCGTAGATCTAACATTTTTCACCTCATTGTGAAATGATGTAATCAGAAAGGTGTTAGTAATCATGTCTTCATTTGACCAAGGAAATGCAGCATTGTGTTTAGCCAGTTCATGGGTATCATTATATTGAACCTTCATAATTAACTTAAATATGTTTTGGAGTATATCAGTCACCGGACATGAGTAACACAAATGATGTTTTCCCCGCTTCTGCATTTAGATGATGTCAGCACTGTTTCTTATCAACATTTAGTTGTTTAAAATGTCCAAATAGTTGCCTGTAGTTATTTTCCTTTTATATCTAACAACTGACCAGTTTGTAAGGGAAACATTCCAACTTCATTTTGCATAATCAAATGTCTCAAATGAGTTAGTTTAACATGACAAATCAGGATTTATAATGTTTTAATTCTACCATGTGATGTTGGACAATAATATGTACATTTACTAAACATCAGATCTCTGAATCATGGGTGTAATTGGTACTTCTCTTTCTTCCTTCTAGATTTGATGATACCAATCCTGAGGCTGAAAAAAAAGAATACATTGAGCATATCCAAGAAATTGTTCAGTGGATGGGTTGGCAGCCTTTCAAGGTCAGTGTTACTTGGTTTCTATACCTTGTCACGAGTGAATATAATTTGACAGGATCTTTTATCAGGTTACTTATACCAGCAACTATTTTCAAGAACTCTATGATTTGGCAGTCGAGCTAATACGCAGAGGCCTAGCTTATGTTGATCATCAGGTTTGTTGTATAGTTGTTAGTGGATTTATGTAGAACAGATTGTTAGTATATCTACAAAATATATTGATAGTGTGACTGAGGAACAATCCTGATATGCTTGTGAAGATGTTGAGAAAAAGGATTGAGATTGATTAATACAACAAATGCTAAGTGGTATTTCCTTTTTTTCCCCCCTAGAGTCCTGAAGAAGTTAAGGAGTACAGAGAAAATAAAATGAACAGCCCGTGGAGGGATAGACCTATTGCAGAATCATTAAAGTTGTTTGAAGACATGAGAAGAGGTTTGATCGATGAGGGCAAGGCAACGCTTAGACTGAAGCAAGATATGCAGAGCGATAATAAAAATATGTATGATTTGATAGCATATCGTATCAAGGTGAGCTGTTGCCTCTAAAACACTTACGGTTATTTCTAGCAATTTTAGGTATCTAATTTGTTTCCTGGCACATTTGTACAGTTTACTCCCCATCCTCATGCGGGTGACAAGTGGTGTATATATCCTAGTTATGACTTTTCTCACTGCATTGTGGATTCTCTTGAGAATGTGACACATTCTGTAAGTGCCATTTTTGATATGTGTGAATCTTCTGCAACAAGTTTTATGATATCTGCAATTATTTGATGGAAATGGCACATCATTTTAAGTCCATGTACATCAGTAAATCAATAGTTAATTAAGCATTTCCTTTTACCTTCTTGTGTCTAGAAAGTTTGTTCAGTGAACTCTTTCAGTGCATTGCTAACCAGGTGCCTTCCATGTTGATTTAATTCATGTCTTTTAATACCACACTGACACAATGCCACACAATTGGAGGTCACAACTATATATGATGATTTTATCTGTCAGATATGGTTTAGATCTGGAGATGAAGCTGACACATAAGCTGCCTCCCTCCACAAGCAGCAACTCTACGTGAAGAATTTAAAAAAAGAGAGAATGACTAGAATTTAGGATATTGATTGGAGTAGGTAGCAAAACTTTAAATCTTATTTCTTTTTCCACTTATTCAAAGCAATAAACAATATTCTTTTGATATTCAGTAGCTTCAACAGCCCTTTGTATAGACTTGACTGAACTCCTTTCCTAACCTTATTAGGACTGCAAATAAGGAAATGCTTTGGGAAAATACCAATTGGATAAGATTTGCTGAAATTAAAATGTCAGAAGTTCTCTAAAATTAGAACAATCACCTTGGAAGAAAAAAAATCCCAGTCAGCTTCAGCTGGAACTATACCATGCCGGAAAGGTTTCGCAATCCCTCGTGCTGTGAAACATTATTCTCTGGAGAACAAAATTTTATAAGCTATAAAGCTCTATAAAATATCAGTACTGATTTAAATGACAGCTTCAAGTAACTTTAAGGAAGTCTTTGAAGTTTCCTAGGATTTGGATCCTTCTCCGTAAAGCAGCTTGAGATGTATCTGCTGCCTTTCAGAAGTGGTGTATCTAACTACTCCTTTGACCTTGTCTTTAGTTTAAGAGTTCATTGTAGATGAATGAAGATTTTTTTTGTAATGCCATCTTTAATCATTTGCTTAAGTTGTAGTGACATTTCAGGTGTTGTTGATGTTAACTTGTTCTTACTTTCTTTTTGTAGCTATGTACTCTTGAGTTTGAGATCCGCCGTCCTTCATACTACTGGTTACTCCTGGCCCTTAACCTTTACCAGCCATATGTCTGGGAGTATTCACGATTAAATATTTCTAATGCTGTGATGTCTAAGCGAAAGGTCTGTTATTTTGCTGTCCAATATAATTAACACATTTGACTTATTTCATGATCCATTTATATTTTTCCCTATTTTTGTTTTCTTCTATTTGCAGCTAAACCGTCTGGTGACAGAGAAGTGGGTAGATGGGTGGGATGATCCCCGTCTAATGACACTAGCTGGGTTACGACGTCGAGGAGTCTCTTCAACAGCAATTAATTCATTCATCCGAGGAATTGGAATTACGAGAAGGTGGCAACTTGATTCTTTACAATCTTAGAATGAGTCGTTATTGATATCTTTGTTTATCTGCAATCTTGAAAATTGTATAATTCCTTAGTTATGCAGACACAAATATTGTGTTAATGTGCTTATTTGGTTTTCTACACGTGAGCTAATTAACACATCATTTTCACTCTGCCAAAAAATTGATTTTACTGGACTTTATCATCTTACACTGTATCATGTTGTAGTTTGACGTGACATTTAGCCTTGTAATTTGACTTGCCATTTTTTTTCAATCTTTATAAGCCATCTGTGATAGAGAAATTCCAAGCTTAAGTTTGAACTTAATGCACATCAAGGATAAATAATTTAGGGCTACAGTCATTTATTTAGGTGGAGCAATCTTCAACTTCCTTTATATTTTCATTATGAATTTGTCATGCTGTGATACATTATGCATAACATATACATACACTAGCAAACATATGTAGCTATATTGGTGTATGTATATGTTTAATTTCTTAGGTAATTGTTATGTTTCCAATCTTTTTTTGTTGACATGTAGTTAATCTATATTCCATTTACAATTCTTGTCTAGTCATCTATGCCAGCTTAACTAGAAGGTTTGCACATGCAATGTGATTTTTCCTTACATGATATGTTATACTGGATTTAGCTTGATAAAGATCGGCTAAAATTCAGGATTTGATGCCCAAATATTCCTAAACAGATGGTCAAAATCCATAAATTAGATATAAACTTGCTGAGATTGCTTGCAGCAATGGGTTAACCCTTCTATTAACTTTCAAGGATTTTGCATGTCAAAATCATTCTCTGTGCTGTCAATTCTGCAAAACTTAAGCATGCTTCATATGGAAGCAGTTGACAAGATATGAAAAAAACAAACTTTGGAAATTTCCAAAATGGAACTGAATTGACAAAAGATAGAGCCTGAGTGCGTTGCTCTCTGGTCTTTTTAATTCTCAATTCTCAGATCCTAATTCCTTTCCTTAGCGCATGACCCCTATACCTCATTTTGGTGGCTTCTCTCCTCACTGGACTGCATTCCATACTTATCTGGTATATTATTAGAAAACAATCACTGACTCATGAAGTTTTATTAAATGCAAACCTCAAATGTTAGACATTTAAAAGAATAAATTAATTAAAGTCCGACATTAGTGAGCCCAAATAAGCTTCCCACAATCTTTGTGAGGTTCTATGCAATGATCCTGTGAAGTCTCGAGTATTCCCAAATAAGCTTCACTGGACTGCATTTCCTCTGTCAATTTGTCATTATTATCTGGTATATTATTAGAAAACAAATCACTGACTCATGAAGTTTTATTAAATGCAAACCTCAAATGTTAGACATTTAAAAGAAGAAATTAATTAAAGTCCGACATTAGTGTGCCCAAATAAGCTTCCCACAATCTTTGTGAGGTTCTATGCAATGATCCTGTGAAGTCTCAAGTATTCCCAAATAAGCTTCACTGGACTGCATTTCCTCTGTTTGTCAATTTGTCATTATTATCTGGTGTATTATTAGAAAACAAATCACTTTCTCATGAAGTTTTATTAAATGCAAACCTCAAATGTTAGACATTTAAAAGTAGAAATTAATTAAAGTCCGATGTTAGTGAGCTCAAATAAGCTTCCCACAATCTTTGTGAGGTTCTGCAATGATCCTGTGAAGTCTCGAGTATTGGCATTTACCCTTCAAATGCAGAACATATTGCCTTTGACCGTTGAAAGCCTGCTTTTTACTTCATTCAGTCACTACCATGTTTTTCTTTTGGCTTCCTTGATTGCATATTGATGATTGCATGCATTACTGTAGCAGTGCAGGGAATGATTTAGAAGATTGTGTTTCACAAGTAAATGTTTTCTTTTTCATATCTAGTCACTCATTAAACCTTATTGTACAGTGATAATAGTATGATACGTGTTGATCGTCTTGAATATCACATTAGAGAAGAACTCAACAAAACTGCATCTCGAACTTTGGTTGTTCTGGATCCTCTTAAGGTATGTTAGTTATATTGGTAGAATCTTTCCTTTATTATTTAATATATACTTATTCTTAGCTTTGTGGGATCTGTTACTCCAGGTGGTTATCACGAATCTTGATTCTGGATCAGTTATAGATCTTGATGCAAAGATGTGGCCTGATGCTCCATCAGATGATTCTTCTTCTTACTACAAGGTGCTTATTAGTCTAAATTTCTTGACATTAGTCAATGTGAAAGCACAAATAACCATAGATCATTTCCATGATTTCTTTTAAAATTTCAGATGATATGATTATGTCTATAAACCATCTGTCTAATGATTTCTTGCTTTTGATACATTGAAAAAAAAGCTTTACATTTCTTGCACCTTTTTTTTCTAGATATGCTACCTGAACATGAAACTTGTAAAAGTTGAAGTACTCATTTATCAAACAGCTTTAGGTTCTATGTATCATTTTTTATAATAATACTTGATTCTTCATTCACAAATTTGGTACTAACTTGTAAAATATAATTATGAAATCATGATCTAGTTATAATCTAGGAGTTTGGCAGCTTGGAATGACGTCCACTTGTCTGTTTGAAGTAAGAAACATACCATGCCAATGTGATGTCAACCCGAGGTGCTGACATATAGCAAGGCCAACCTATACCTTTGTTGGATGGCATGATTTTGTGCTGTGTTTGTTAGATGCCCCTTATGATGGTCGTCGCAGGTTAAAAATTAGACTAGCCATATGTCGGCACCTCCAGCATTAGTTGTGCCCCTTATGAGTTCTCTAATATTTAAGTTGATCAATGAGCTCTTTCACAGTTGTAATCTTTCGGAATTCCACAGATGCCTTTGTTGACATTTCTGGTTCATTCTTTATAATAATAGGGAGTGTACCTAATATTATTTCATCATCTTGATTGTACCTGTAGCTAACTTAAAACTGAATTTTCTTTATACTATCTTGAAGTGAGCTTGTATGGCCAATTTTGCCAATGTCGAGACAGTTTGTTACTTACTGTCAGAAAATTCGTCCTAAAATCATGCAATAATTAAATTCTGTTTTATCTCTGCATGAAAACATGAGGCCAACCCGGAATTCTAATCCTTTATATTCACCAATGAAAATGAAAGGTCATTTTTCCACCACTTTGGAATTTCCATTTGTTCCACAACTTTTATTGTATCTTTAGAGTTGTCTTCCATATCAGCATTACCTTCAGTGGGGCCATCTGTGCATGTTGTGTAGCCTAATTTTCTTCTGGTCTTTTTGTCCCATTTGGACACTATGAAAATAAGGAGAAAATTTAGGAGGGGTAAAATGTATACTTCTCCCAGGAGTACCAGGAAACCTGTACAAGTTCTGTTTAGTACATTGTTCCCAGCTAACCCAAAGGACAGTTACATGACTTGCCTTTTGGTTAAATTGTTCTGCTCTCTTGTTATTGTTTCATAATTTTAATTTATGGTAGTCATGAAGTTCATATATGCTTCATTGTTTCTCACATCAAATATATTCACAGCATTGTTGTTTTTCATGTCTGAATCCAATTAATGTGCTTAGACTCATTAACAAAGTGGATATTCTCATTGCAGGTTCCTTTTACAAATGTTGTTTATATTGAACGATCAGATTTTCGTCTTAAGGATTCAAAAGACTACTACGGGCTGGCACCTGGTAAATCTGTTCTCCTCAGGCAAGTGATAGTTTGAAAAGGCAAAATTCAATCTTTGCACTTTCAAGTAACAAGGCTATAAACAGGTATTTATCTTTCTTCCTAATTTTAGATACGCGTTCCCTATAAAGTGCACAGAAGTTGTTTATGGGGATAACGACACTATTGTTGAGATCCATGCTGAATATGATCCTTCAAAGAAAATAAAGCCAAAGGTTTAGTTGTGCTTTTTGAATGGTTTCCAAGTAATTAGCACTGCTGCATCTTGCGTGATGATAATTAAGTCAACTGAATTTCTTTTTACAACAAATGCAGGGAGTTCTTCACTGGGTTGCTCAACCTTCTCCTGGTGTTGATCCTGTAAAGGTGGAGGTGAGGTTGTTCGAGAAACTATTCCTTTCAGAGGTTGGTACTCTGCTGTGTTCATCCTTTCTTATGTTTCAAGATAGTCTTTGGTGCAAAAAGTCGAGCCTTTTTTTCTGAGTTGCTCTTGCACATTAGAATCCATCTGAGTTGGAGGACTGGCTGTCTGATCTGAATCCGCATTCTAAGGAGGTGATTCCAGAAGCATATGCAGTTCCCTCTCTCGCTAACGCAGTGTTAGGTGACAAGTTTCAGTTTGAGAGGCTTGGTAATCTCTCTTGCTCACTTTCGAATGCTAATTTGAACTCTTTGCACCATGATTGGGTCCTAGCATTGTGTCTAAATGGTACCTCATTAATAAGTTAGATACTTGAATCATATGGGTTAATAGTGATCGTGCCTTATTAAATCAACATCCTGCTACATCTTTCACTCGAGAAACCCCAATTCCAAGAAATTGTTGGGAAGGGGGAAATTTGGTACTCATGTCTGACTTCTTTTACTTTTTATTTTTATTTGATATTGCAACTTGATATAATCTTCTCTGTTTCAGGTTACTTTGCTGTGGATACAGATTCTACTCCTGGTAAATTGGTCTTCAACAGAACAATCACCCTTCGGGATTCCTATTCAAAGGGTGGAAACAAGTAAAATCTCGCCCTCTTTGAACCTCCTTCATACAAAAGTACATGAAATCATGAACCTAAAGGAAGTATCGACGAGTACCGATTTAGTATTAACTGTTCTTTTTTGTGGAAAAACATAGACTGAAATTGTAATACTTGTCGGATAGTATTGTAAATCTTTCCTTTAGCTTTGTTTATGTTCTTTGTTGTCTAGGCATTGTAAACCTAGGTGAGATCGACTCACCCAATCATCATATCCCCACTTAACCACTCCAAATGTCTTACGCATATGAACAAAAAGGAATTCTGCGCTAAATGTTTTTATAAACTGTCTGTGATATCATTCATATGCAGTATCTTTAACCAGAACAAAGAATTCTACTGTACATATGTCTTAAGTCGGACGTTGTATACCTGTAGGCAGGCATTTTTCTATCATGTGCCTGTGACATCTTCCCATCACAATTTAACTCCCCAGCTATGGACAAAATTCTCCTTTCCTCAAACTCTCATTAGCTACCTATAATCTCATTACTGCTTGCAGCCAGCAGTAAAACATCATACTATACTCAATTCCATGTAAGATCGGAGTAGACATCAAACGTGCACTTCCTCCCTGAGTTCATCAGCCTGAAGAGCTTCTGGTTTGAGAGCTCTGACGACGGCGAGCAGGGGGCAGCCGTCTCTCCAGATAGCAAGATTCTGCTCGGAATGCCGAGTCGCCGCTCCAATTCCTCGGCCTCCCCTCTTTCGATGACACGGTCGTAGCAGATGTATCGGCCGCATGCGTGGCTGCTCATTGCCTCGTAGATCGATACGTGAGCGCCGGCCAGCTTCTCCACATCGACGGTAACCAGCAATCCTTCTGCAAACATCTCACGAGCTCCTGTCCAAATGCAATGGAATGGGTTTCAGGATCATGGCCTTTACTCTTACTGCGTTGCCGGGACTCATCGATCACAGCATGCAGTGATATATCTCACCTTTGAGGTAGGCGATGGAGGCAGCGATGTTGCGACGATGGAATCCAGACCCGGTGACAAGAGCCGGGCACACCGTCGCTAACTTCAAGTCCCGTCTTCCTCGAGCAGCAGCTTCCCAAGCCGCCTTCTCTGCCATCGTCTTGCCCAGTGCGTACCACAGCTGCAGTCATCCGGAAGGAGTTATAAGGCAGAAACATGCAAGCCTTCGTCTTCACTCCAACTTGTGTCGGACTCGACTCACCTTCTTATCCCGGCAGAGCTGTTCATCACTCCAGCAGCTCTCGTCGACGACCCTGCGGCTACGAGGATCGCTCTGTCGCCATGTACAAGCCAACAGAGACGAGGTGAAGACGCACTTCCTCACTGACTCGGTTCTGACACAGGCTTCGATCACTCGCTCTGCCGCTCGTACCTCGATCTCGGCCATATGCTTCTGTAGAGTGGATGGCAAAGATCATGTTAAAAGCTTTGCCAGCATTTAAATCTTGCTTTGGTTCTACGATCTAAGCGTTATATGCTTTTAACTCACGGAGTAGCCGGATATGCCGCCGGGATCCAGTGAACTCGAGGTGTGGAAGACACCGGTGCAGCCATCGAACGCCCGGCACAAGCTATCCATGTCCGTCATGTCGGCCATCACCGCCGACACGCCGCCCCATAAGGTCTCTGTCTCCCTGAGTTTATCCCAATCCTCTGCAAGTTTCCATGCCAAATTAGTCATCATTTGTGAGGAGGTTTGCCAGAGTATTTATTAATCATCATTTCATCAAACATGAAATGGACAAGGTGGGAGCAAAGGAATTGGGGGAAAGAAAAGGAATCAAAGCTGAGACTAAATGACATCTTTCCACGCCGATTCAAACAACGGCGAGGAAATAAACAGCTGAAATCGAAGAACGTATCCGTGGCAGAGACGATTTTTATGTTCTATGGAGAGATAGATGAAGTAGGAGGCGATGAGGATAAGAAACCTTGAGTCTCGACGAGGAGGCGAACCGCATAGCCACGGTCGAGGAGGCGGTCCACGAGGGCGGACCCGACGAAGGAGACGCCGCCGGTGACGCACACCGCGCGCCCCTCGATCCGGCCTCCTCCGTCGCCTTCCCTGCTCCGCCGGACGCCGACCGGACCCGTTTTCCTCGCGCTCCGTCCTCTGCAGCCACTCAGGATCGCCTTTCGCAGCGCCTCCGCCTCCGCCACCGCACCCTCACTCCTCCCCATCGCCCCCATCCCTTGCTGTCTCACTTAAATGGGATCTGTCGCGAATTGAGATGGCGGAGTCGGTGAAGCTTTTATATCGGAGGGCTCTGATATGGTCACCCCTAATTATTCAAAGCCGTATGATGTATCAGGCACAAGATTACAAGACGGCAGGGATAATATGGGGTAAGAATAGCATTTGTCTTTTGCATCTCACTTATTTCTCGGAAAGGGAGATGGATTGTGGCTTGGCTCACTCGGCTCAGCTTGACTCGGCTCGGCTCGGCTCCAATGGCTCAAGTTGATGTTGTTCTGCCGGTGGTGGTTCTAATATGCAGAGCATGTTTGAACAAGCAAGTCCAAATTTGACTAAATATATATTTTTTAGCTTTATTGATGTCATAAGACTTACTTTATATTCCTATATCATATTCTATTTAAAATAAACTACAAGAGGACGGTATATGCAATTATGATTAACATGTTTTTTTTTCTCAAAAACAATTTTGCCAATAAGATAAGGGATAGAAGACAATGTCCCAAGATAAATAAATAATGTTGTGCTTAATAGTGGATAGAAATCTAAAACCATCACATTTTTACAATCTATATGTATTGACTTTTTTGTCATTTAATTTCATTTTTATTTATCATCATCATCATCTTATTATTATTATTATTATGTTTATGTTTATGTTTATCCAAGAATTCTTCCAACACAAGTCCGGGCTAATAGACAATTGTTTTTTTTTTTGAATGAATTCCTCCAAATGAAATCGGGCACCCAACTAGTAATAGTTTAACCGTATTTATTAATTAATGATGTTCATAAATCAGCATAATGGGAAAGGGTGAGATCAAAGATAAGCTTATGGAGTTTGACCATTAATCATGTTGACCAATTGACCCAAAAGAGCTACCTACCTAACCATGTGTGATGTCTAAAACATTGTCATTTGACTTGACTTGTTCAACTAAGTGCTAAGTTCCAACCAAAAATGTTTCTTGTAGACAATAATATTTTATTGATAAAGTACTCAAAGTGACATGTAGCCAAGTGTTGGCAAGATTCATGATGAGAATCCAAGTGTAATTTATTTGGGGCAAAAAAAAAAAAACAAAAAAACTCTTGTTGTTTTTCATTTTTATTTTATTCACATATTTATGTAAACATATTTGGAGTTGCTGCCAAAAGACACCCAAAACAATCCTTCATTAAGTGCATGAATTAATGATGAAGAAAGATGTCATCACCACAGCTTCATCATTGTTCTCCTGGGATGAAAGCATTCTTCATGCCAAATCAAACAAATGGAGGTGCAGTGTTGAAAGCATAGTCTGTGTTTGTGCATGGCACCAAACTTTCTCTTAAGAACATTAGGTTTTTCCTAACATGTCATCACCACAACTTTCTGTCCACAATTAGGTCACTCTGACCCATCTAACACTAAATTAGTTCACATAACTAATCACTTCTACTTGTCTAGCTAATTAGCTGCTTAAATATTTTTCTAAATTAACAAGGGAGGTAAGAGAAGACTATTTATCATTCAACCTACTTTTCTACATGTAATATTATTCTAGGCAAAATTACCTATTACATGAAATATGTTTCATGTTTTATTTATTTGTTATTAAAGGGTAATCTCAGACAATGAAGGCTCATAAAGAGTGGGTCAAAAGGAACTCTTGATACCTCTTTTTTTTTTAATCCAATAATTAATTTTTAATTAACATCACTAAATTTATTTTTTAGGCATTAGCATAACTTGCACAAGAATTATGAAGAGGAAGAAAAAGGAGTATATTCCATTGACTTTTAGGTAAAACGCTGAGTCAAAGTCTTCGTGGGCGGGCAGCTGTTGCGCACGTGGTGGGTTGGTGCGGAGGGCTCGTGTTCTGCGAACCACCAAGCCGGCCACTCACAAGTCAATCGGCTCGGCTCCAAGCTTTTTAGCCACGCTTGCTTCGCCAACTCGTGTCCGAAATGGTGGTGGGCTACGTTCGAAGGTTGACTCTGACACTTCCAAGTTACGTGAGTCAATAATATCAACCGTCCGATCCGATCATAACGATCGGGCGGGGCCTTCCTCGAAGTTACCCCGTGGACGAGTGCTGCTTGATCCATGAGGTCTAATATAAGAAGGTGGAGTTGAGAATTCCTTTCTACCAAAGATCATAGCAGAAAAGACTGCATTATTAGAAATAGAACCAATTTGATCAAAATATGGATTTCTTCTCTCTCGATGCTGTTGATAGATATCATGTAAAAAAGAGTGATTGAATGTCTATGATAAAATTGTGCCTATCATGGTAGCTAGTCAAACTTCTCATTCATACAAGTCAAAGCAGTGAAATGATAATGAATCAGATTACTTGAACTTGTAATTCAATTCAAATCATAAAAAGCAGCATCTGCCTAAATCAAGTAGGAGAGAGAGGGAGAATACCAAAGATTCATGATGAAGGCCTTTTTGCTCCTTGCAAGTCATTCCTCAATTGATTCATCATCTGAGGAGCCAAAAAAAAAACAAGTCATCTCAGAGTTTTTGTCTAAATAAGCAGTAGACAAGTTTACTGTTTACTGTCAGTGACATGAGGACAAGCATAAGAACATCAGAAACCAATGGTGAGTTAACAAAGACACAATTTTCCTCTTCAAATACTGAGTTTTCAATATATATTCGAGAAGCAGTAAAGGGATATCAAAAGTTCCTCGAAATGTAATCTCATTTGCGACTTGGGTGATGCTCGAGTTACTGAAACATAGACCTATATGAGAAGAGTTGCATCAACAAGGGTGCAGCAACAAGGATGATGTTACTTCTTCGAGTGATTCATCTACTGTTCCAAAGAGACTGCTTCGTATTTGCTGGTTCCATCAGAATCTTGATCCTTCTAAAATGAAACATTGCTTGGCCTCATCAATTATTCCTGCATCACAAATCAGATCAAACGATACATGGAAAACCAGTTTGAACGATCCCAAACCTTTCTGCCGCATGGCATTCTCCTGCTGACCGAACAACCATATGAGAAACATGAAACACAATGTTCGACAAACAGCCGTCCATCATCTATGATCAT